AAATTCCTAGATTCTTTTGAGATTCATTGAACTTTTCAATGGCATGTTTCAATCTTGATTGTGCCCTTCAAGTTTTGTGACTGGGATGCCGAGGATCACAAAACAAGGTGTGAATAATCATGCTAATTCACTTGGTACCCTTAATATTATCACCTAATCAATGTGCCGGTTAACCACACACACTCCATTGATCTATGACAAACATTAAGTCACCCTTCGTGATCCTTACTAGTCCTAGTTAGTGTGCTGGTTAACCACACACGCTCCACCAACGACTTGGTAAGGTACAAAGTGTGAATTCCATGGACTAGCACCATGTTCACATTTTTCCTAAAATAACTAAGATTGGGAATTAAAAGAGTTTAGTTATTTTATAATATTCATTATACTTTTAATGAGGATTTAAAGTCATTGTTCTACCCGTTCGGCTAACGACCCTCCACCGATCAAGCAAGCGGTGGGTGAGAGTATACACCCATTAAGTCTCCATTTTGATATATGCTATTGTAAATGGATTAGAACAACCATTACACCAACTAAAATAAGTTTTATAACACCAAAACAATTTAGAGTAATGTTTCTAGTCCATTTCCAGCAGCAAAAGTAGAGAATCTGCACTCTTTCGATCCTACTCGTCGAGTGCATGAACTGACTCGTCGAGTAGGTTGAAGTTTGCCTTGGACTCGTCGAGTCCCCCCAATGGACTCGGCGAGTCCACCATGCTGATAGCAACGATTTCGACTTTTTTCACTATTTTGCATCAAGTATCAAACAAGCAAGCCTAGGCTCTGATACCACTGTTGGGTTTTGAGCAATCTAACACTTCCTAAGTGTGCATGCAACCCTAATAAACCTTGGATCTATGTTTGTCTAAATACATGCAAAATAATAATTTTCCAAGGTTTATAACCTATCTAACATGGCATGGGGAACATTTCAACATAAAAGAGTTAGAAGAGATTACATACCTTTTGGTGAGTTTGGTTCTAAGGAGTTTGAGGGCCAAGCACCAATAGTGTGAATGCCTCAAATGGAATCACAAACACCACAAACTCTTGGAAAACTTTGAGAGAGTATACACCTTGTATAAAATCGGCCACACACATGCACACATACACTAGTTCACTAGTTTTCTCTTAGGCTCCATTTCATGCTCCATAAGCATGCTTATATAGTGTGCATGGTTACCCTAATAACCCATGTCTTTTCCTTTCCAAGGATCCATGGGTTAAAAGCTCCATGGATCATCCATGGACTTCCATATAAGCCTAGCTCATTAACAAATGAGTATTAGCCCACACTGTATAAAACAAATAGCCCATAATCTAATTAGTCCTCCTTTTAATCTCTAAATTAATTCATAATTAATTTAAGACTAAAACTAATTAAATAATGTAACTTCATATTAATATATTATAACTCATAATATATTAATAAACATATGTGTATAACTCTCATAAAATTATCCATAATAGTTTGGATGAGATGCAACCCAAATGGACCATGCCGGTCGGGTCAAGTATATACCAAATAAGTTATGGACTTAGACACCTTATCCAACAGGCACATCATACACGCATATTATTTTCCACACCATGAGTCATTCTAGGATTTTGTACTCTGATATTTGATTGTTTTCATATTTCGGTTTTCAGACACCATGTATGTTAAGAAATGGTTTGATCAGACAATGTTTTATTTACAAATGTTTTCTAAAGTATTGATTCAGAACAAAAATTTTGGAAGTGAAATTTGGGTCGTTACATTAACCCAACTAGTTGAGTGCAGCTCACTAACTCGTCGAGTCCTTCTAGATCTCGAGAAATCATGAAAACCTTAGTTGACTCGCCGAGTTTCCAGACAACTCATCGAGTCCATGCATGTCCAAATGTTGGGGAAAACCCTAACAGACTCGTTGAATCATCTCATTGACTCGCAAAGTCTATGTAGAAGCCTACCACAACCAATCTTCATCTGACTCGTCGAGTAAACCATGCAACTCGTCGAGTCCCTTCAGTCCATTTCTCATTCAGATGATTTTAAGCTACCCCAAAGCTCCAAATTGCAGATCTAACCTCCTATGGCATGGTTTCCATGTAAATTTGCAAACTTTACACACATACATGGTCCTAAATGCCAAAACGAAGCTAATAGAAAGGTTTAACCCAAAGAGAAGGGCTAATGCTTGTTAAATTTGATAACTTTATGACTATACAGACTTAAAGGAGTCCAGATCTGAAGTTATAACTTCAGATCATGCCCAATACCCGAAATAACCCACAACCAATTAGAAAATGGCCCTAAACCTTTACATGAAGAGATTTAGATAAAGATAAGTCAAGGTAACAACTTTTTACCTTCAAAATGATGCCAAGATGAAGTAGAGTCAAATCCATAAGCTTCTCTTTGCTCCAAGCTCCTTAGACTTCAAGCCTTCTTCACAAAATCTACATTCCAAGCTTCTTTACACAAAAAATGGAGAGCATGCGAGATTAGGATTTTCTGAGCTCAAGAGGGACGGTAAGGGAGGCTGACGGAGGCTAATAACACTTTAAATAGGTTGCAAAATCCTGGAAGTTAGGGTTTCATTTTCCAACTCCTACTCGTCGAGTTGGGGTCCTCCAACTCGTCGAGTAGACCCTCTAAATTCACGCAGCCTGAATCGTTTGTACACGATGAGTTGGGGTATCCAACTCGTCGAGTAGGTATAAGAGCATAACTATAAATTTTAAATTTTATACCTGGGGGTCGGGATGTTACATCTCATGGCATCGTCTTTGATAACTTTGTTGTTATATTTACAATAAAAGATTGATGAATTATAGGTTTTCAAATATAACAAAAGAGATCATGGTTTCATATGGGTTGATAAGGCAAAATATTACAACATCAAACTCAAATAACATCTTCACCTTATCATATTACTAGTGTAAACTAGAAAATACAAAAATCTTTGAGCTATTTACTCACATATGATCATAACTTTTGGCTACAAGGTTGGTACATTTATCTTTAATTACTTTTTAGTTTATATTAGACCCGTATATGATGTATATGTTTTCTTTCTAAACTATAGTTCATTTTGCCACACCCATATCCTTTGCCATTCTCCAACCAATTAAGAAACAACGACCTAGAAATATGAGAAAATGACTTACCGTGATAATTATCTTTGCCGTTATGTTCACATTTATGTAAGTTCTTTATTATTGTAGATATTTGGCTATTTAACTTGTTATCCGTATATTCACATATTGTTATTGTCGCCGGCTATAGCAAGTGAACATAGTAATATGTGAACAAATTAGCAAATTAAATGTTTAAATGTGTAAAAAAAAAAGTTGGCTAAGTGTGAATAAAACGAAAAGTTGATAAGTCATTTTTCCCACTTTTAATAGCGAGTTATTTTTCATACTTTTTAATATTATTTTTTTCAAACGTTATTTTTAAAGTATCCATAATTTCCTAAATTAAACTTTACTTTTTAATTAATAAATATATTTTTCTTTTATGAAATATTTTATATAGCCTCTTATAATTTTTTTTCTTTTGTTTTTAAACATATACAATATTTTTAAAGTAATAGTATCTAAGAATAAAATTAAATATATTAAGTATTTAACAATAACTATAGAGGGTAATTTAAAAAAAATAAAATAAAATGTTACTTAACAAATAAACAGATAAAAAAATCTATATAATGTAAATGATTTTAAATTATTCAAACTTTTTAATTAGAAGTTTATATACTTTTAATTTATTTTAATACAACGTTCTAAACTAGTAATTAAGGAAATTATTTTAAAATGTTATAAAAAGTATTAAATTGTCATAGAAAAATCTATAAAACGCTTTAAAAATGTTGTATAAGAAAGTTTATAAGTAAATGTAAAAAAGTTATAAAAAAACTGTTTGAAAATGTAAATAAAAAAAAAGTTAAAAACTTGTACGAAAAATTTTAAAATTTTTTAAATTATATGGTTTAAAAGCATTTGTATTAAAATTATTTGAAAGTATATAAAAAGTTTAAAAAAAAAATTATAAAAAAAAAATTAAAACATTGTATTTAAAAAACCTATAGGAAAAAGAATATCATAAAATTGGTGTAAGAAATTATTAAAAAATCTTAAGAAATTTATAAAATTTTTTTTCTCATATTTAGACAATTTTTTTAAACATATTTAACCATTTAACAAGTTAAATGTTTAAATATATATAAAAACCAGGTATCTCAACGTGGATAAAACAAAAAGATAATTACCTTCAAATCATTTGCCCTCCAAATATTCATATTTTTTTTTTCATTAGTATGGACAGTTGATCTATGTTTCTTACTTTCTTACAATTGATTGGTGAGAAAAAACCACTTAGCTATGCTTAGGAGTACGATGTCTAAAATATATTTTAAAAAAATACAATTATGGGATGGTATTTTATCTTTCAAAAGATTTACATAATCGAATTCATTCAAGAATAAATCAAAACATTTAGACTCTCTTAAAAGTTTGTGAAGTTTCAAGAATAATCAAATTCACTTTTACATCAATGGTGAGAAACAAAAGTGAAAATTAACCCATGCCGGAAGAAATATGCAAACGGAAATAAATTTCCCTCGAGTCAATCCAATTCAATCCATGAATAACCCCTCTTAATTATTACTTTGCCCGAAATAACCCAAACTCGCAATAAATCCTCCACCACCACTTTTGCACTCAAACCCTACCATGCCTTATTGACTTTCAAATACCCCTATTTATTCTTTGCCACCAACACCAACCTTTTTCCTTAGAATATGTGCAACACGAAGAAAACAATTTAACTCCTCTTTTCTCTCTCTCTCTCTCTCTCTCTCTCTCTCTCTCTCTCTCACATATTAATACACTCTCTGCAACCTCACAAAATCACTGAAAGAAACCCTTCCACAATGCAAATGAGGAAAAATCATCAGAAGATGATTAAGATGTGAAAACAAAGAGAACGTCATACGAAAAACAACCCCACACTTTTCCTCTCTTTCTCTCTCTTTCTTTCTCTTGGAAGCCCTTGACTCTTTGATATTAATTACCTTTCGCTGTCTTCTGTGATAAAAAATCTAGTAAGAGCACAAGTACCCCTTCGGTTCTTCCTTTATTGTTTTCTTTATTTAATTTTCCTTTGTGGGAACCCTCTTTGCATTAGAAATCCCATTCGTATTCAATTTTACTACTTTTTTTTTTCGTTTTTATCTTGTTAAAACAATATGTTTATATATAAAAACCGCATAAATGTCTTGGGGTATGGATCTATATATAGGGATGGTAGTATTACTCTCTTTGTATCCCTCACATTTGTTTTTACATGTTGTAATGGATGCACAGGTGATTCTTGTTTATGGGTTTATTTTCATTTTCCATTTGATTAAATATATATATATATTATGTATGCTAGTAGTGTGTGTACGTCTTGATATCTCTTATTTATATTTATTTAATTTGGAGTTGCTATTAATTGAAACTGAACTGAAATGCAGGGGTAGGTGAGGAGTCTATGGCTATAAGAAGAGATGTTTTGTTTGCCTAGTCCTTTCATTCTTCTTCACTAAACCAAAAAGAGAGCCAGAAAGCAGAAAGAACAAAGTAGCAACGCAAAATATATCACTTTTTTGTCTCTGACTTGACTTGAGACTTGAGAGTGTGCTACAATTATCACTCATCATCAATCATTCATATACAGTCATATATATACTTATATAACTAGTTTTTCATATGGCTTCATCAAATAGACACTGGCCTAGTATGTTCAAATCCAAACCCACCTGCAACACTCATCATCACCACCAATGGCAATCTCACGACTCCAACAATCTCCTTTCTTCTCCCTGTCACAGATCTCCTTACACCTCCGGTAATTACGTCCGTTTAGTTTAACCCACTTTTAACGTCACTTCGTATGCTTCCTCTTAATTTCCCACTCGATATTCAAAACGGAAACAAAGTAAAACCACTTTTCGACACAAGATTGGATAACAATTATTAAATATGTTTCTTTTCGTTCTTCCGATTTGTAATCATTCGTGAGATTTCAAGATATTTCACGAAGTCGGTGCGACTGTTATCGTTTCTGTGTGTGTGTGAAAAGAACTGAGATTTTGTGTAACCTTTTTATTGATCGGTGCAAGATCCTGAAAATCATGAACGGGTGTTGAGTTTATGCGTCATTGTTCCCAATTCGTTAGGCATATACCCATGAAAAAAGTTATGATGATGTATACGTTACAAATCAAGATTTTTTTTTTTTTTTTTAATTTTTATTACAGTTAATAGTAAAAATGTTAACAATGGCAGGATGCGAGGAGAGAAGCCCGGAACCGAAGCCAAGATGGAACCCAAAACCTGAACAAATCCGAATCCTTGAATCGATTTTCAACTCCGGAATGGTGAATCCTCCGAGAGACGAAATCAGAAAAATCCGAGCGCAGCTTCAAGAATATGGACAAGTTGGTGATGCTAACGTGTTTTACTGGTTCCAAAACAGAAAATCTAGAAGCAAACACAAGAGTCGACATCTCCAAAAAACCCAAAACCACCAATCTCTTCCGGTTTCTGCTGCCACCACAAAGGTGGCAACCACCTCTTCATCGTCTTCATCGGAAAAGTCATCCTCTAAGTCAATCGAGTTTCTCCTCAACTCCCCTACAGCTTCAGTAAACCAACCACCACATGCCTACTTTGGCGGTGGAGGGACGGGATACCACCACCAACACCATAGCGAATTCTCGCAAGAACCCTTCTTTTTCACCACAGTTCAACAACCACCACCGCCACAACCACCTATCGCCACCACCGCTAGTTTCACACAAGGGTTTTCTTTCTCGGAGTTGGGAAATGCGATTAATCAAGATCATCACCATGGAAATCTTGATCAGAATGTTGGGAGTAGCTCTGGGATGTTGCTAACTGATTTAATGATGATGACTCGCCAAAATGGTATCTCAAAGAATAATACTAACAAAGGTGTTGAAGAAGAGAAAATGGTGAAAATGTCAACGTATAATTTTACTCATCCTTCAGCTCCTGCTTCCATTGTCACTCCAAATCATCCTCCTCCTCCTACTACTACTAATGTTCCATCAACAGTAAATGATATCCGAGGTACCTTTATTTGTTTCTTTTACTTATTCTTAAGCTTATTAATAACGTACATATCTACATTGATTTATCTTTAGGTTTAAACAATAAACGTTAAGAACTGTGTAGATTTTACATCAAACATTAAAGCTATTATAATATATTATATAACATTACAGTAATAAAAAATTCCAAGACTAGCTGAAACCCATAAAATGAACAGTGTGTGTAAGTGCAAATGTTTATGTAATTAATACGTTTATTTTCCTAAAAGTTTAAAATTTTCAGTTTTTTTTATACTGAATCATTAAACTTATGTTAACTCTTTGATCAAAATTCTGGAGAGTATCTACAAGAGATTTAGTAGTTATATTTATAAATACTAACATTGTAGTTGATATATGCATGCATATCGATTTGGTTGAAGCTAGCTTATAAGTGATAAGTAGTGAGTTAATGGTAGTATGTTTTGAGGTGCAGGTTTAGAGGAACCAGGTAATGGGAAATCAACGGTGTTCATCAATGACGTGGCATTTGAGGTAGCATCTGGGCCGTTTAATGTGAGGGAGGCGTTTGGTGATGATGCGGTGTTGATACACTCTTATGGACAGCCAGTGGTGACAAACGAGTGGGGGGTAACTCTTCAGTCTCTTCAACATGGTTCATTTTATTACTTGGTGCGCTCATTCTCATATGATCAATCAAGCACCATAGACTTGGTATATATACGTACTTTCCATCAACATTTCATCATAGAAACCCTATTTTTGCGAATATTTTATCTTTCAATTATGTGCTACTTTACATTTACTTGGTGCGCTCATTGTCATATGATCAATCGTATGCTAATATGTTCTTGGATGGTTGCAGATTTAAAAGAGATGTACAAAGAGAAGAGATGGTGAAAGAGTTATTTTTCTTCTTCAAGTGTTTTGAAATAGTAGTTGTCTTTGAATTTCGACTTATATCTAGAAAATATGTAAGGAGTTGTTATGTGGTCACTTATCACTGCAGAAACTATGTTTAGTTTGCATTTTAAGCTTTATGTAATGTTGGTGTTATTGTCTTATAAGGATATTTTCTACTTTAATGTCAACGTATACAAGTAATAAACTATTTGTTTTAAGAACATCATTGGTTTAAAAGGATATCATAATTAAATTATTTGTTTTTTTTTTTTTTTTTTATCACAAAATGCCATTAAAATTTTAAGCATTGTTTTAAAAGGATATCATAATTTAATTATTTGTTTTTTTATCACAAAATGCCATTAAAATGATATTTTGTGAAAACAAAGTTTCAGTTAGCCAACTGCCTTTGACAAAACGGAAAGTCACTAAGTTCATAAAATTTTGATTCTTTGGGATTGTAATTTAGAAAATCTAGCAATTAATATTGATATAATTCTGTGTATAATACCATCAATTTCTTTCATATTGATATATAAACAGATAACAACCTTAGGCACTTGTTTTGAGGACAAAAGAGTCTGGCTTAAAAGTATTATGGTGTATATTGATAACAATATTAGGCACTTGTTTTGAGTATCAAAGAGTCTTTTGGCTTAAAGATAGTAAGGTGTATATGCAGGAAATGTTTGATTTCCTAAGTGGTGGTTGTTCCATTTAAATTAATAATTTTTAAACTAATTTATTATAAATTATTCTAAGTATTTTAAATAAATGATAAGCATCATAAAAAATAACAAATTATTTTGTAATGGATTTATGAGTATGAAATAATAGATATCATATTATTTTATTTAAATGCGCATGCATGATTTCAAAAAACAGAACCCATGAAAATAAAAATAAACTCAGTTTAGATATTAATTTAAAAGAAATGTAGAAAGAAAAGAGACGGTGAAAGAGTTATTTTTCTTCTTCAAGTGCTTTGAAATAGTAGTTGTCTTTGGATTTCAACTTATATCTAGAAAATATGTAAGGAGTTGTAATGTGGTCACTTATCACTGCAAAAACTATGTTTAGTTTGCATTTTAAGCAATTATATAATGTTGGTGTTATTGTCACATAAGGGATATTTTCTATCCTAATGTCATCGTATACAAGTAATCAACTATTTGTTTTAAGAAGATCATTGTTTTAAAAGGATGTCATAATAAATTATTTGTTTTTTTATCACAAAATGCCATTAAAATCATATTTTGTGAAAACAAAAGCAGGAAGTCACTAAGTTCATAAAAGTTTGTTTCTTTGGGATTGTAATTTAGAAATCTAGCCATTAATATAGATATATTTCTGTGTATAATACCATCAGTTTCTTTCATATTGATATATAAACAGATAACAACCTTTATCTAGCAATTGTTTTGAGGACCAAAGAGTCTTTGGTCTAAAGATACTAACGTGTATACGTACGAAATGTTTGATTCCTTAAACAACATCTTCAAATCACTCTCATTCTTCATTATTTGAGTAAATTACACCAATCGTCCCTCGTACACATGCTAGAAAGCGTGTTTAGACCCTATTTTCAAAAATTAACTCGGACTGTCCCTTGTTTGTTTAAAAGTTGCACATTTCATCCTTTTTAATTTTCTTTTAATGCTTTATCATTTTTTATTGAAAAAAAAAAGAAAAAAGTATATCATGTACCCACCCTCCCTCTTCCCTTTCCCACCGTCCTTTCCTCTTAATAGAAACCTCCCTATCTCCGATCAAAATCATCAGATGAATCACCGACGTATTTTCCACAGCCACTTCATTTTGGTTCCAAAATCGTCTCACCACGTATTTGATGGGTTTTAGGTAAAACAAATAAACTAGAAAACAATTCCTAAGTTCACATGCAACCTACTTTGGATCTATGTTTTATCTATTGAACATACAACTTTGAATTGCAAAACAAGAACCCTAGAAGAGAGAGGCTATAATCGAAATCTACACACTAGGGTTTAGTAATTACATACCTTTCAATTGTTATAGTAAACAATTGATGATTCCCTTGATCTTGATCTTGATCTTCTTGGAAGCTTAGCACCACAAGTGTAATGCCTCTAATGGAATCACACCCAAACTAGCAAGAACGAAATTAGAGGTGAGAGGGAAGAGGGAGTATGCAAAATTTCGGCCCTTAGGGTTTCTTCCAAAGAAAAGAGTGACAAAAACATGAACCAGGAGGCTCCTTATATAGCTGAGGGATCTAGGGTTTAGGAAAACCCTAGTTATCCTTTGCTTAGGGCCTAAGCAAACCCAAGGGCCTTATCCAAGCCCCTATGGACGAAATTATTAGGGTTTCCCCTAAAGATTTCGTCCACCCTTATCCAAGGGGGTTCTAGAGTCTTCCACTCAACTATTAGATAATTGCAAACTAGTCCCTGCACCTTATAATTAATTCTTTTAACCCTGAAATTAATTCTAATTAATTTCTGGCTAATAACTAATTAAACCAAATGATTTCTTATTAATATATTAATCTTTTAACATATTAATAAAATCATTTATATTAATTTATTAATCTTATAATAAATTAATATCTCTCCTTTCATAATTTCCTTGTCCGGTTGCTAGGTTTGAGGGCAACCCAAAAGGATTGTGCTGCTATCAATTTGTAACGCCCGTAGATCCGGACAAGTCAATTTAGAGGCAATATGGGTCGAAAACGACTTTTCGGCAAAAGATTATTTAGAATAAATAATTTTAACCAAGTTATAGTATATGTCACAAGGTTTCCGTACATATAAAGAACGCCGAAATCTGAGTTATAACGAAGAAGTTATGGCCGTCGAAGTTTTACGGCAAAACCGGCACGGCACCGGGAAGCGTAAAAAGTGAATTTATGATATAAGACTTTTTAGACTTAGTTATCTAAACCAAAGTCGTAGAGTATGTTAAAAAGAGAAAATCCATAAAAGGAACGCCCAAATCTGACTTCGTATGAGGAAGTTATGATTTTTCTAAGATTTAGCATAGTAGTGCACAGCCCGAAATCTGAATTTTAGATCGGTCGATTTTTAGCCGACGGGATCTAAATGAATGTTGTAGTACTCCTAAATACCAACGCGTAGATATAAAGAACGTCGATAATAGAGCTCGTATGCGAATGATATGGACGAAGCTTAGTCCCTACTTTTCGAGCGCGGCGAATTCGATACAGTTTTGTAAATCCGAGATAGAATGAGAATTAGCTAACGAGGTCTAAACGAAAGTTGAAGATCTCATTAATAGGATCTCAACGATAAAAAGACAGACAAAAACGGAGCTCGTATGCAAAAGTTACGGACGAAGCTTAGAGGCTACTTTACTATAAAACTCCTATAAATACAAGGGTGAACTCCTCATATTTTCTTCACACCATAAGCCTCTCTTTCTCTCTCTAACTTCTCTCTAGCCTCCCTAAACCCCTCCCAAGTGTACGAACCTCCCTAGCACGAGAAGAAAGCCCCGGAGCGCCCGACGGCTCCGAGAAGAAAAGCTTTCGGCTTGGAAACGCTGCTCCAGCGAAGCCCGGTTTTTAATAAAAACTCGTTGTAAGTGAGCTACGCCTATACTATATTTAATATAGATTTTATTTAATTATAGTAACATTATTAGGACCTTAAAATAATTATTTGGGCTATTATTATGAGTTATATGAATGTTATTTAACGCTTATATAATAGTAATAATAGCTAGACTATTAATTAGTCGTGGTTAACGTTAAAAACTAAACCCTAGTGGTATTGATACTAGGTTTTGTCGAGGAAAATTGTTTTGAGATAACGAAGTGCTGTCTGAGTTCGGAATCACCACCTAATCAGGTGAGTGCATAGTCCCTTTCATCTTACACATAGATATGAAGTATTTAATATAAACTACGTGCTATGTGTGCATATTATCTGAATACTTGCTGTCTATGTTGGATGAACGTTTTATACATGTTTTAAAGGATTTAAACTGTATACGTATTTTATATATACGAATATGTGGGGTATGATGATGGGTAGATAGATGATGAGAGATAGAAGATGACGTGAGTATACATTGGCAGCTATAGACTTAGTGCCTATGGACAAACACCGGTAGCTATGGACTTAGTACATGTCAGACGTTGGTAGCTATGGATTTAGTACCTGTTAGAAATTGGTAGCTATGGACTTAGTACCTATTAGTTAGACACTGGTAGCTATGGATTTAGTACCTGTAGGAATTGGTAGCTATGGACTTAGTACCTGTTGAACGCTGGTAGCTATGGATTTAGTACCCGATGAGTAGGATATAGCAGCTATGGAATTAGTGCTTTACGAACTAACATCGGCAGCTATGGATTTAGTGCCAGTCCTATAACCCTGGAAGTAAGGGACTTCGGAATAAACAAATGCAGGATAGACGACTCTTAGGTTAAATCCTTAAGAGTAAAGAAGATAACGGGGATGGGTAATGGGGTTAATTGTTTGATGATTAAACATAACAATTATATTATTGTGGGTTGAAAACCCTATGTACTCACCAGGTTTCCCAACCTGACCCACTCAGTTTATGTATATCACAGGTGTTGATATGAAGTCACTTTACACTGAGAGATTTAAAGAGATGTAGATCACTAGTGTAAATAAATGTAAGTTCTGTTTATGCTTATGTTTCTGTATTAACGATGACATCCCAAACGTTTTAAGATGAATAAAAATACGTTTCTTCGAAAATGTTTTAATAACGTATTTATCGTGTTTTTCTGGGAACAAATTCCGCAACCTTTTTATAAAATGAAGTACTCTGATTTTTATAAAGCATAAACAAAATCGGTCTTTTCTGGCCGTGATTTTGGGGATGTCACAGTTGGTATCAGAGCATTAGTTTAAGCGAACTAGGAATATGGATTTATTTCTAGACTTAAACTTAGAATGCTAAGCGATGATTGTCAGGTGTGAGCACTAGCTT